AATACATATAGTTTGACTTTTTAAAAGTTTATTTTAGTAACAAAATGTGTATTTTAATACTTTCAAATTTTGACTGCATTATTTTCAAAATTATTCTTCACTATACTTAATTTTTAAATTTATTTTTGTAACATCCTAAATATTTCAAATGACCCAAATTATTTTTGAAACAATTTTCTAACCAGAAACCCCTTTCTATAACCACATTAGTTCTTTATTCTTCACATTTATGTAATCTTAAATTTTACAGATATTTTCCCACCATAATAGAAACATTTTATTAAAACTGTAGGCTTCAAAAATTCAAAAGATTTTTTTCCCTTCCAAAAAATATTTTTCTTAAACTTTAAGTCACCATTGAAACAGTATGAGAGTTATCTCACATTTGGAACCAAGTGTACTCATAATTCTTTCTTTTCTCCAGCCTAAATGTTTTATTTACTTCAAAATATGATACGGTAAATTATGCTGATATCTTTTTACTAAACATCCATGTTATGCACAGGATTAATGAACATTTCAAACAACTGCAAGTATAAAATATGAATCAAAGTTCTCTTATAAGTTATACAACAAGGTCAGTTATAGCTCATAAACCTCATAGAAGTAGCTCCTGAGGTCCTGCTAATAAAGCAAAGGCCCCATAAGTCACACGATTGCAGTTGCTCATTTTACCAGCCTCCATGGGCACTCTCAACATTTCCAAAAAAAGGCGCCACTTTTGAATAATATTATTAGTAAGCAGATAGGGGTTTTGTCAACAACAAGAAGATAATTCTAATCTAGAGGACAGTTAAATCATAAATGTATCATCTCTGATTAGTCTACCTTTGTTAGGAACTAGCATAAGGAGAAATGTTTAAAACCTTATCTATTCTGTAAAGTAGCAAAACAAGCTAGTTGACAAAATAGTAAATTAACACTTTGAAACAATTAAGTTATGATGGAAACACTGCATAAGTTAGTACTGATAGCACAAATGCTAGGTGGAAATTTTGAGATTTAGTGAATATCTGAGTTTACTCACAAAGAATTTAACAAAAACAAAAAGTTCATCTGTAGGCCTAAATTCTATATAAAATAATGTTTCCTTGAAATTAGCTAGTTAATATTAATAAAGGAAAGAGAGCAAAGGAGAGGCCAGACATTATAAGCATGGTCATCTGGGCAGCTCATGCTCCTTAAGGAACCATGCAGACCACTGTGGGGGGGAGGATTGAACAAAGGGGGAGATGGGTGAAGTTGGGTGACACAGGGAAGGTGCCTGTCTGTTTAGCCTAGGGAACAATGGGTTGGCTAGAGGCTAAACCCCATTACAAGTATGCAAAATTTTGAGTTAATTGGTTAGTTTGAAGAAATTTTCTGGTTAAAATCCCCAAATGAGTTTTCATGCTCTTGTTCCTCTTGTTTGCTCTTGCTCTTTCTTGCTCGATGACCCATACTCACCCCTGTATGCACCAGTTCTCTCTCCATAGCCATGTAGCCTTTTACCACATGGCCCATGGCCATGCTGACTCCATACACAGGATGCTGGACTGGACTGGACTGTATTCTAATATGGAACAGAAATTCTGGGCAATGACCTTAATTCTGGCCCTACTGAACACAAGTTTGAACTTTGTCCATGATGAGATGGACAGAGATGGGACCTTGGAAGTCCCTTTAATATTACATCATCAATAAAGCTTTCCACAAAATCCCATTCTTCTGTGGGGGCCTCAGGAAATTCTTTCCCTCACGGCACCCCAAGAATTCCACTTCCACTGAAAACAGTATTACCAAAAGGTGAATCTAATACAGCCCTACTGTTATAGTCTTGTTTTTTACTTTACTTGACAAGATAGATTATGATTGTTTAATACCAAAGTACATTGTCTTTAAATAGAAATTGAAAAAACTTTTAATGACCCTCTTTTTGCAAGTTATTGATAGTCATTGGCTTGCTTTTACTTACACTCCAGAGCATCTGACTGAATTTAATCCAAAATTGTGGGAACTATGTGGGGAAAAAAATGTATTAACATTTCCCAAAAAAGTAAAGTTAAACACAGTTCACCAGTGATGTTTCATGGGAATTATCAAGTGAATTCTAAGGAAGAATTACAGGCTCAGAAGAACATCTATGTATGTTTGAAGAAAAGCTTTACCATTATTTTAGGAAATTTGGTATAGAAAAAAACAATAGTTTGAATAAATTAAAATTTAACTCGTTTTATCACAATAAATCCTAACCTTACATAAGTTAATGAAATAAAAGGGGTTACTAGTTTTAAAGAATGATCTGCTTCATTAACTATGGGTAAAGTGATGAGATTATAAAAATGTGGGTAATGGTAAGAAAGAAGTCAACAGGAACAAAGCAGTAAATACTCTTTCCTCATTTGCTATCATCTACTTCTGGAGTTTCTCCTTGATGATAAGCACAAAAAAATGAAGATGTCCTATTAAAGGGACTCGACATGGAATTTTCATGTTAAGCATAAAATATGATTTTTTAAAAATTTATTCATAAAAGCACACTCATGTTCCTCACTTAAAATAAAAAAAAAAAACACCTTTTATTTGGAAGTTTTATAAAATTTAATATTTATTATATTTTCTTTCACTTGGTAGTTTTATTATAATTATACATTACAAAGAAAACATAATGATTATTTTCACCAAGGCTCACATAAAATGCCTCCAAAACCCCTTAGCTTTACCCCAGCATGCCATATTGTTATGTTCATTTTCTATGTGTGATGCTGACATAAAGCCCGAGGAGCCCCATCTATAGCTAGGAAGTCTCTAATTTCTATTTTAATATGAAACAGAAATTCTGGGCAATGGCCCTACTTTGTCCATGTATGTAAAAATGAGGTTCAAAGTCCATCTTTACAAAACTTTTTTTTTTTTTTTAAATAGGGTTCCTCTATATAATAACAATGAAAGCAAAACCACAAACTGAAGAACTTAGGTAAACAAAGTGATCAGAAATGATAAACTTCTATCTGATGCCATCATTGTAATTACATGAATAACCAAGGAAATGTTAGATATTAAAAGCCCAATAATTACTTTATATGCTAATCTGCATTATTTCCATTTACTGATGGTTATATTGAGAACCTGGTCCATTTTTCCTTCTTCACTGCAGCCTTGCCATTCTTCCCTAAACATATCTGCCAAGATTACTCAAGGAGAACATTTTTCCCTCATGGTCTCTAAAGGTCTAGAAGATCCAATAGTAGGCACACTCTTAGAAAAAGCACTTCCTACCCACTGCAGTGTGAATGATATCAGATCTCAGCACTAACATTGAAAATGCACACGTAAGACATCAGAAGTGGGCACTAGGATAAAAGCATTGCGAGCTATTTCCATACAAGGTCTGACCACATTCACTATCTGGTTATATAGAACTTTCATTCCTGGAAGCATGAAAGTGACATATTCACAATAATAATAGTCAGCAGCAAATATTTTCTTCGGGGTGAGGAAAGAAAAGAGGAGAAAAACGCATCTCCCATACAGCAATAACACAGGGTGGGGCAAGAGTAGGGTTACAGTTGTGAATATGAGAAACAGAGTTTATTACTTTATTATCATTTATTTACTAAAGGGGCTCGGCCCTTGCAACCCCAGGGGCTACCTCGGCTCTGGCAGCCCCGGCTTCATCTGGAAGGTCGTCTGGAAGGTCGTTCTGCTGCTCAGCCTTCTGATCTAATTAGCATATTATGCTTTTATTATTATAGATAATTGTATCATTTTCCATATGAACAACTGTAAACCTACTTTTCCCACCCTGTATTAAATGCTCTAAGTTCACCTAATAAACATGTCTTCAAATATCTTAAAAATACTTTAAAACATAGTTAAAACAAAATCTCTTCAGCAACTAAGAGTGCTTTGTAACATAAAGATAATTAAAATAGCAATAAAAATAACAACAATTATTACTATTGTTATTTACCTCTATTATACTATTTTTATAATAAGGGAAATAATTCATAGACACTATATCTCCAGATGTCTAAAAACCTTAATCAATATATAGAGTTTATAGAAAACATGACCTCATTATATTATCCCTCACATTAAATTTAAAGATAAAATTAAAACCTCAGCCAAGAGAGCAGCTTCCAAGGACTCAAAAATACAGCTATCTTTGGTTCTTATACTATCTTTGGTTCTTTTCCTTCATTCCAATCCCAAAAAATAAATAAATTCAGGACAGTAAAAGCAGATACATTGTATCTGGACTGAAATTTCATTCATTATTATCAAGTGTATTTAAAATGTCAGCACTGCCCTGGCCGGTATGGCTCAGTTTGTTGGTCATTGTCCCGTGCTCCGAAACATTGCCATTTTTATTTCCAGTTAGATCACATGCCCCAGTTGCTCAATGTCCAGGTTGGGGACTCGATCCCCTGTTGGGGCCGTGCGGGAGGCAGTCAATCAGTATTTCTCACTCTCTCCTCTCCCTCTTCTCTCTCTAAAATCAATAAAATCATATATATTTTAAAAATGTCTAGCATTACATATGAACTCTGAACTATTAACATAATTTTAAATTATCAATCAGACAATTTCAAAAGCTAAATCTTTAGAAAAAGTATTGCTACTTCACATTCTAAAGCACAGATTATTACATTACAGTACTCAGCCTGTCAGTAGAGGACCAAATGCAGCAAAAAAAAAGTACTACCATAAATGTATTTAAATTAGCTTAGAAAATTACATGGAGTTAGCACATTACAAACAAATGTTCAGTCTATGGAGTCATGTGGCTGTTATGTGAACATCCAGAGCTACAATAAGTATTCATATACAGTATAATACAGGCAGTGTAATAATGATAAATATGTCAAACAACTTCAAATTTTGCTAGTTTACAAAAAATCCCTTTTAAGTTATTTTTGGCGTGGTGCAGGAGGCTCTGTCCAATGACCGGAGGCGGGGTGTTGCTTCTTTGCAAGGCCAGAGCATGCAGTGCTCAGCAACTTCAAGAAGGTGCCCAGTCAAAACGTCGGCTTGTTCATGTACTCTTCCAGGGTCTGCAAGAGAACAGCGAGTTAGATAGAACAGCTTCCCTTGAGCCGCATCCTGTAGCAGACTGTGAAATCGTTCCTGTATTCCTTTGCCTTTACTGAAAGGTAGTGTTGAAAAGTTCGTGTGAACTTAAATCTCTGCAATCTGATCAAGAAGGATGGTTCGAAGTTGAGTGCCATTTGTATACGCACCCATAGGGCTCGAACTAACTAAAGATCAACTGAGGAGAAGCTAAGCTGGATCACAGACTGAACGTCAGGCAAGAGCAACGCTAAAGCAACAGCTACAAGATATCACTGCTGACTTCAGAGGAGTGTGCGTGCTAAAATGATCATGAGGACTACGCCAGGCACATGTATGAGAGATACCGAATTCTATTTGTGGAACATATTTACTGTTGCAGATATTGTACAGAACATCTTCCTTACACTTATTGCCAAGATATAATGAATACACGATCATAAGTCTTAAGATTTCCTGCCTTGTATCTGGAGGAGGCTTTCCTCCGAAGTATAAATTAGGTTTCTTCATCTTCCTCAACAGTTACCAGGTTTGTGACATGCTACAAGGCCATGATTTTTGTCCAGACTTTTTAAATGTTTGAGTGGCTTTACAATGACAAGCAGAGTTCGAAGGTATGGTGATGACGCAAGTCCTTAGCATGCACGATGGATGGACTTTTCTCTTGCACTCTTTCCTATAATATCTGTGTGTGCAACACAGTGGGTTCTGGGTTAAATCAACAAGATTGATCATGGGGGGAGACTTAATACCCTTGCCTTTAACAGCTCAATCTGTGACGCTCAACCCATTCTTAAGCCTGAACCCCAGGACACGTGGTTCACTTGACCCTGCCAGGAAGACAATCAACCAGTATGGGCCAAACAGATGAAAGCCAAGACCAAGGCCAGGCCAGATTGTTCAGAGGATACTAGGGTTACAAATTAGGTGTGTTTCAACTGGTTTTCACCAGCTCTATTTAGAACGCCAGTGTTCCTCTTCTGAAAATCCTGTGGTCTCAGGCTATTACACTTTAAAGGTGAACATTAACCAATAAGAGCTGACACCCCAAGATCTCTGCCCTCTATCTCCTTTTATAGATGCTGCCCATGTCTTCACAGTTAGCAAGGGTTGTGGCACCACTTATAAAGGAATGCAAAGTTATAAATACAAAATTGAGCATAAAGATTTTGAAAATGGGTGGGGGGTGGGGGGGAGGAAATGACAGGAGATTGCAAATTTTTTAAAATGTTATTTTATTGTTTAAAATATTACAAATAGTACATTTCCTATTTTTCCCCATTGACCTTCCCTTAGCCTCCCCTACACCTCCCTCATCACCACCTCCATGTCTTGTATTCATTAGTTATGCTTTTATGCATGCATATAAATCCTTCAATTGTTCTCTTAGCTCCCCTCTCCCCCTACCCTTCCCAGTTTTCCCCCTGTAGTTTGATAGTCTGTTGGATGCTTCTTTGCCTCTGTATTTACTTTTGTTCATCAAGTTATAAGGTTCTTTATATTCCACAAATGAGTGAGATCATGTGGTATTTTTCTTTCACTGACTGGCTTATTTTTAAAAGATGACAACTATCGCAAAGTCCAGAGCAAGAGTGTATGGTTTCCAGTCATTAAGTGCCCAAGACCCTCTACAATGTATTTATTGTCTGGCTACTTCTTCTTTGCATTTAAGATACCCGGGAGTTGTCACCTTGCTGACTCCACAATTCATTGGCCCCTACTTACAGGCACTGGTGAATTCAGTCTGCTAAGACTGCCTGGTTGCCCTTCCTGAGCCATGCTGCTTCTCAAGTTACATGACCCAGTAATGTATGAGGTTGGTATTGTCTTGAGCTTGTAGGAACAGACTCCCTTCTAAACTTGCTTTCTTATTCTTCGGTCAAAACATGTTTGTCGCCCAAATTGGTAATCTCAGGAATTGCAACCTCTACAATTCGAGATCACTATCTTCTTTCTGAGTTTCTTTTTCCTTCTAATCACTTTGCACCTGTCATCTGCAATTCCCAGTTGTTACCTTCAAAATAAGATACTGCCTAAAGCTATCCCCTACCAATTAAACTGTTCATTCACTTCCACATTATCAATATCTTGCCCTTGTATACTCAGAATAAGCTTTCAGCATTTGGAGACTTAAGACTGTATATATGGGGAGACAGCCTTTTCTTAAGGGGTCCAGAGAAAGTCCAAGGGGCTACGTGCAGGTTTTCAATTGGGTTAAAGTGAAAGCAATGTTATTACTTTAATCTTAACCTTTAGTAACTTCAAATATGTGTTTAAGTCCCAAGGACAAAAAAAAAAAAAAAAAAAAGCAGTAATTTTTTTTCTTTAATATTACTTGTGTGCACTCATTTAAACTTCTCTGACTGAACTTACAAAGCAAACCAGATATACAAAGTCAATTTTTTAACCAGCTTCCCAAATGTTCATTGACTTAGCCTGTATCAGAATACCGATAATGTTGTTTTGATTTGGCAGGTACTGTTAAATCAATGAGATTTATAGGGCAGTCGTGGCATTGCCAGCTCACTATGGGGGCACAGGGCCCCCAGAGACCTACTCATCAGGACCTTCCACTCAATCACAGGGGACACGAACTACCAATTAGTGTTTAAAATTGTGAAAGGGCTCTCTCTTGAAATACTTGCTTCCAGATTTAAATGGAACTAGAAATACTAGATATAGTGCAAGCTCTTTAAAACATTTTCTTAGGGGATGGGGGAACAGGGGTGTTCAAAATATCCTAGGTGTGTCTTGTCACCAATTCAAGAAATTTTAATTATTTAAGTGCCAAAAGACCCCATTTAAAGTCTGTTTCTCCTATATTTAAAAATATATATACTTTTATTAACTTCAGAGAGAGGAAAAGAGAGGAAGAGAGAGCAATATCCATGATGCCTCCTGCACACCCCCTACCAGAGATGGAGCCCACAACCCAGACATAAACCCTGACAGGGAATCAAACCCTGAACTCCACTGAGCCACACCAGCCAGGCAAGTCTGTTTCTCCTACAAGGAGACTCCACAGTAAGAGTCCTGGGATAGACAACCTCTTGGCATAATGAAAGAAAGGTTGTTCTGTGGAATTTCCAAACCACTGATTTCTCAAGTATCTTGTAAAATTCCCTTTCCATAGCATTTGGAGGGAGTCAAGTAAACAGCTGAAAGTTTATGTGCATTTTTTGAGGTGAGAACACCTCAGGCAATAATTACATGGCCTCCTACCCGGCACAGGCAAACTAAAACAGACCTCTTTCTCAGTATCCAAGGACTGGTGCCCTAGATGGACAGGAACAAGTAATCAGCTCAAAGACAGTGCAAACACAGTTGCTGGGAAATCATTCCTCACATTGCTTTATTAACTTAATCAGTTTATTCCTTTAAAACAGCAGGAAGAATGGCTTTAATGCCGATTTTTCAAAGATACTAATACCCTGTAACACTCTGGAATCTCTTGACATGCTGTTATGAAAATAGAAAGATGGCAAGATCCATGGATGCTGTGGGAAGAAGTACCCAGAGGCGGCAGAGCTGTGTTGGATTATCTCATTTAAGAGGTCAAAGGCCAGTGGGGGGATGCGCTATTTTTCCTGGGAAAACTAAGGGACTCGTGGAGGTAAGTTCCTTTATCCCAATCTGGACTACATCGAAAAGCAAAGCCCCACTCTACTTTATATGAGCACCACAGGGTCAGGAGCACAAACAAATGGATGCTTCAGGGCCCTTTTATACCTTGCAAAGCAAGCCTCAGTATTCCCAATTAATTTATGTAAATCCGAGCCCATACACAGCCTCCTGAGGAGGTGTAAGAAATTTTAATTAAAATGATAAATGCCCTCTTCAAGAATAAAGCTCTAATAGCCCTGGCAAATGAGATAACAATGGGCTGCTATTCTCTTTTCTGGGGTAGCATAGATACTTTAATGAAAGTTTTTATACCCCCTCATAAAATTATTCTTATAAGGAATATCACCAAGTGTTTGATAGCTTTTTGATAGGGAGGTATCCTCATTAAAAAGATCCAACATCTTTTGAAAAGCGAAGACTCTGGAGCTCAAATGCTTAGATTCAAATGCCTATTCCACACTTAGTAGCTGTGTGACATTCAGCAGGCCACTTAACCTCTCTGTGCCCCAGTTTACTCACCTTTCAAATGAGGGTAACAATACTACCTACCTCTTAGAGTTGCTGCGATAATTAAATAAGTTAATACATGTAAGTTGCTTGGAAACTGTACTCAACACAGAGTAAACACTTAGTAAGTGTTGGCTAATATTTAATTACCACCACCACCACAACCACTACCACCACCACAACCACTACTACCATCACTACCACCATCACCATCATAACTACCACCACCACCACCACCACCATCACCACCTCTACTATTATAATCATCATCATCATCTTTTCCCATTGCATGAGAAACTGAGTACTGACCTCCTGTAACATATCAGAATCTTCAATGGCTTTGACAGCAGATTTCTTGGATGTTTCCTGAATTTCCCCACCTATTATAAATTCATCCAGGATAAAATAAGCCTTTTCAAAATTAAAGATAATATCCAGCTCACAGACCTGGTAGGACAAAAAACAACAACAAATGTTTTTATTAACCTGCAGTGATATCAAGGAAAACATATACCAGTGTCTCAAGCTTTTCAAGTAACACCCATGTGGCATACCAAAGATGAAAATATCAGATAGCATGTGAAGGACAGAAAAATGGAACTAGGGAATTGTAAGCCTTTAATAAAAGTAGTAAAATCACATTCCATTAAAGCAGAGCATGTCCTTAGGTAATGTTTAATGTCACAACAAAAGATGTGAGACTCCGTGAAGGAATGAGGCTGCCCAGCTCATATTTCCATCTGCAAAGCTGAAAGCTGAGCCCCTCTACATGTCATGCTTGGGGCAGTGCTTCCTTTCTCCTGCTCTCTGCTCGAGAGTCTGGGCTCCTAGCTTTAGGACCCTCGGAGGGTCACACTTCAGACCTCAATGGTGCTAATTTTTCTCAAAATCATGCCACAGGCCAGTGGCTCTCAACCTTCAGAATATGTCTAAATCACCCAGAAGCCACGTTAAAACATCACTGCTGGAGTTTCTAGTTCAGTATGCCTGGCTAACCCCGGGAATTTGAACTTCTAACGGGGTCTCAGGTGATGCTAATGATGCTGGACGTGTGGCGAACCAATGACACTGCCATAGACCAGAACAGTCTGATAGATTTGGTCAAGTGAAGCAGTGATAAGACTACCCCCCCCCCCCCATAATCCAAATAAAGCTTATTTCTGATTATTTAACCCAATAGCCACTCAGGCACTCTCCTTGCTATTTCCTTCAACTCTCTGACACCTAACTCTCCATTCCCACAGCCTCCTGAAGGTCAGGAAATGGCAATATTTCAGTCCTCCCTGAGCCCTACCTCTCAGCAGACTGGAGCTTTGGAAACTCTTCACCAATCTCGTCCCTGACTGTGGCGATCCCATTCAAGGCCTGTCCTCTTCCTTCATCTCTGATAATTCCTTTTCAAGCTCCTTAGATTGTTTATCTCCCCTGCCCCCTCCACCTACATTTGTTTAAGAAGTATTTCACATAGGTACTAGACTTATGAGGGGGAGGAGGTCAGAGATGAGCTCGTAAGGGATATAAATGCCTAATCACTATGTTGTAGACCTGAAACAACTATCATAGTGTATGTCAGCTGTAACTGGAAAATAAATTAATTTAAAAAAAAGAAGTAGTATAGAGTGCTTGGGACATTTCAGGCAAGAGAAAAATAAAGGTTGTAAGAGGAAAAAGAAACTTGCAAAATGTGCATAATACAATGCTATTTTATTTTTTAAAGTTTATGTTATAGGTAAAAATATGCACTACTTTGCAATTTTAAGCAATCTAGATAAAAAGAAAGCACAGCAGATCAGACACCATGCACATGAAAGAATGTAGGAGAAATAAGCAGTTACCAGAAGTTGGAAGAAGCAGGAAATCGGGAGATATAGTAGCAAGAGCTGAGGAACCTCAGAGTTCAAGGCAGGCGTAGACCAGGAATCCAAGAAGGCAGGGACTTCATTAGGAGAAACCAGCGGCCAGAACTCTGCAAAGTGAACCTGAAACTAATGCAAGTTCTCTGAGAACTTCTCATACTCCACTCTCAGAGCAGCTGCCCCTCCCATGTCTGTAGGGCTCCCCAGCAGCCATAGGGGAATTTATTGACTGCACCTCAGTTCAAGGGATGGGGATAATGTGAAGTGGTGTGCAAAGCCAAATACACACAAAACACAGACACACTAGGCATGCACATGCACACACAACTTGGATTATACAGTTACTATCTCTAGGTCATAAGGAAAATGGATGTACAAGTTCTATTGGAATGATAGAGAACATTACTCATGAGCAGCTATTTCATATACAGCAACTCCAAAATTCTCCTTTGTGGCTATTTCTTGAGTCTAACCCCAAAAGCTATGTATAACAGAGTAAGAAGAGAAAACATTTCAGGGGAATCTTAGCCTAAATGCAGGTTCTTCAGCTACTGCCTGATTACTCAAATACTTCCTTTTTTTCTTTCTTTCAGATACTTCTAATTCCACCTTACCCGCCCTACCCCAGAACACTTTATATTTGATCTTCAAACCTTATGCTTTACTATAATTTGGAGTAAGGGTCTTCTCTTAGAGCAGAATATGTGATGTAGCAAGAATATTTCTGGTATTTTAATAACTAAATCCTTTTGGATAGAGTCTAAGAAGGACCTTCCTTTCCTGAATTATCTTCTAAAGTATATACAAAACCCATCAAATTATATATAATAAATCTATAAAACTATATATAAAATAACCCTAATGCAAGGTATAGCTAAATAGCAATGGACAATTTAGTAAGTATTGTTAACTGCACTGTTCCTTTGATCCTCACAATAGCCCTATGGGGTTAGCAAAGGAGATATTTCTATTAACCTCTTCCTACAAGGAAATCCCCTCCCTGGAGATCCAAGCACTTCAAGACAGCAATAGCCACACCTTCTGAGGACATCCGAGAAAACTGGCCAAGAGTGTGAGATGGGGAAATAGGCAGGTCTGGAAATGCCAGAGCAGACCCTTATCTACAGAGACCTGGAGCATTTATAGCTTCTATAAACTGGGGTTAATGCTACTTACTGCAAATCAAAAGATTAACTGGTTAATCCTTGTAAATCTCCTTGGAATTGAAAAGTGCTAAAAAAAAAATACATAACTTAAATCAGTAGCCAGAGATTTTGATTTATCTGTCATCAGAAGGTAATATTTTTCCAGTGCTGTATATAAGAGAAGCTCAGTACAAAGTTTTCTCTTAGATAACAGAAGGACAGTATTCAAGGAAATCTTCAGTAAGGACAAAAGAGAGAAAGTGAACCAAAGAGCAATGTTCCTGAGAGATGTCAATGAGAATCAGTACGCTTGGCTCATCACTGTTAATTAATAAGGATTGAACACCTACTGGGCAGATAGCCTTGAAATGCTCTTAGCTGCTCTTAGCTTAATGAAAGATTCATTGAATTTTTTAGTGAATTAAATTTTGGATCCTCCTAAAGGTCTGCCCAAACAGGATGAAAGACTGATGTTAGAGAAACAGGAATTCATTCTGATTCTCCCTGTATTTTAAACGAGCCTCGGGTTAGCAAAGAGGAGTCTAATTCTCTTGAGAAAGCCACATGTGCTGAAGTGCCCTCAATTTGGTCAGATAAGATCCAGATCAACATTCAGCCCCAGTTCACATTGTCATAGCTGGAGTAATCCAGAAAAACACAACAGGTCAGATCAGAGTGCAGAAATGAGGGGGACAAGGCGAATCCTGTGGAACTCCTGCAGGCCTTTGCAAAAGGCAGAGCCTGGAAGTTATTTGAAAAGGAATTACCAAAATGTCAGAATTCACCTGAATGACAGAAAGCATAATATCAAATAATCTCAAATATAAAAATATGCTATTATGTCTTTGCAAATATCTCTTTCAAAAATGAAAGAAAAAAACCTAAGGGGACCAGGAGAAAGAGAAAGAAAAGTGATCTAGCTGTCTCATTACTTCTATACGGACCAACAACCTGATGTTCCTGAAGCAACACTTAGGTCTTATCATAATTCACAAGGGAAAAAAAGGGGGGGGGGATGATAGGGAGAGAAGGAGAGACAGCAGGAAAATTCTTTGAGAGACCTTTTAAGCATTCACTTTATAAAAAAAAGTTGCAACACATCTGATGAAAACCCAATACTGTAAATGCTGCCCATTCCATTAAATGGAATACAGAAAACTCTAGTGGAAGTAAGTGCTTCTAATAACACAAAATAAAAATCTTCAGTGAGCAAGAAATCATTTACCAAATCATTTTCCAAAGCCAATGTTTATGTATTTGGAGTGTGAACTACCTTAATTGTTTCTGGAACGGTTGCTAAAATATGGTCCACAGTGTTGAAAAAAACAAAGTCAGTCCTAGGTCATGATCATGAAAGACTAGCAGTTCAATGCCCAAGCAAATCCCGTGTGAGTGAAGGCTAGTACCAGGCTGGCCCATGTGACTGGAGCACTTGGGTGTGTCAGGGATGTAAAGAGAGAAAAGTGAGAGAGTGGAAGAAGTGGCCTGGGACCAAGGTTTAGAAAGCTTCAATAGCAAGCTAAGAAGATTGAATTTTAAATGGAGCATGACTGAGGAGGAATGTCACCCTGGATCTATGGTTTGTAAGGAAGATGAGCTGAAACCGGTTTGGCTCGATGGATAGATTATTAGCCTGTGGACTGAAAGGTTCCAGGTCGATTCCGGGCAGGAGCATGTACTTTGGTTGTGGGCATATCCCCTGGGGGCGTTGTGCAGGAGGCATCTGATTGATGATTCTCTCTCATCATGTTTCTGACTCTCTGTCCCTCTCTCTTCCTCTCTATAAGAAAATCAATAAAATATATTAAAAAAAAAAAAAAAAAAAAAAGGTGGTAACCAATAGGCCAGGTGAGGGCCAGAGATGAGGCTCCAAAAAAGCAAAAGTATGATCCAAAAAAAAACCTAGACTAGTTAGTGACAGGAAAGAAGGAGAGGAATATTAGCCTAGTTTTAATAGACCGAGGCAGATTATAGTAAATGTTGGTTAAGCTCAAAGGATCCTGAAACACAATAAATTCAATCACAAGACAGAACAGAAGGTGAGTTTGGTTCTTGTTGCACTGAAGACTAAGATGATTGAGAAGCCCAGCAAAGAGCATTTTCAGCAAAGTGAGAAACAGTCACCTGGTGACAGGTTTCCAGGAGAGAAAATCAGGTAGACATAGCAGAGTAGGAAGAGCAGCAGGGCAATTTAGGAAGCAGGAGGAGGGAGGCAGCTCAGGGGAAGAAGCCAGGAGGGGCCATTAGCAAAATTCAGGGTCCTGGCAACATAATAAGGAGCAAATTTAAAGAAAGAATCGTGGTGAGCCAGGGTCCAGTGCTGCAGGAGATTAAGCAAGTGAAGATTTAAGAAGAGTCACTGGTGTTGGTCACGAGGGCGAGGCGGATGGTAACTGATTTCATTGGAGCCGCAGAGGTGGAACCAAGCTGTGAGCGGCTGCGGGAGTGAATGAGTTCGGTGGGTTGGGCCACCTCCTGTAAGACATTACTGGGGGGCAAGGAGAGAAAACAGCAATGTGAAAGGAAAGGGTATTATTTTTGTTTTTATTCTCATGCATAAATAATATTAAAGAACGTGTAACTTAGTAGAAGAAGCCAGAGAGGGGCTAAAAGAATAAACTAAAAGAGAGATGACAGTCCATGACAAAGAAGGAATTTTTCACAATTACACTCTAGTACATGAAAAAAGGTCTCAAGCGTTGAGGTCTGAAGACAGGGACACCATTTGCCTTGAAATCTGTCAATTCAGAATTCCAGAAAGTGGGGAAAGCCTTGTGCTCTGATCCTTGGTACAAATGCAATTCATATTTTACACTTGAGAGAGAGAAGGAATGTGATGGAAGACAGACTGAAGTAAGAGCTGAGATGGAGACCTACTGATTCTACTAGACCAGAACAACTTACATTTCCAAAGTACTTGTCCAGCAACTCCACATAACGATGCACAATCTCTAGTGTCAAGAGCTCATTGTCCTGACTTTCTACCGCACAGCAAAAGTATAAGCTAGCATACCTTGAAAAGAAAAAAAAATAAAATATGATGACCCATTAAACAACCTGAAGGTAGATTTTCCCCAGTGAAGATGCAGTTACCTCCTGCTTCCCATCCAATAATGAAATCATTATTCATCACATTCCATATCTCAAAATCATAGTCCTCTGTGTTTCTTCTACCCCAAATACTTCCCTATCCCATTCGTGTGGCTCTTACTTGTCCTGTTGTTCTGAGCTTGGATGTCATTTCTGCCAAGAAATGTCTATCCTCTCTGACTGGATTGGACACCCCTGTTATGCATCCCTGTGCCTCCCCCTTCAGAGCATCAGGTTTCTTCATTGTCCATTTCATGGCCTATCTCCCCCACCATATCAGGGTTTCCCAAAGGCAGGCACAGAGTCTGCCTTATTCACTGTTGTACAGCCAATAGCTGTAATATCGGTCAAGAGAACCCACTCAAGCCTATCTTTATATATAAAAGCTCAGCAGCCAAATGGCAGAATGACCAGAATGACCAGTCGATCAGTCACTATGACATGCACTGACCACCCTGGGGAAGACACTCAACACAGGAGCTGCCCCTTGGTGGTCCGTGTGCTCCCACAGTGGGAGCAGCCGCTCAGAGGGTGGATCCACAGTTGCTTGGCTGACCAGGGTGAATGGCGCTCCCACAGCAGGCTGATCCCCACAGGCCATGCTCCCACCAGTGCATGGATACATGCACTGAGCCTCTAGTTCTTTATATAATGATTTAAAATACAATTGAACCCAATGTTTTAGAAAACTAGCAGGTGGAGAATACTGACAAGCTTCTTGTCAGCAAATACTAATAATATTGACCTTGGATCCCACTTTCTGGACATTTAACCATTAAATGTAGACTGTAGAGGTTACTCCATCTTTCTCCTTCAAACACTCCTTATAAACACTCCTTGCTAGAGCCTTTCTAATGTTTTTTTCCTTCTGGAAGTTGCATGAAGATACTGGATGCAGGGTCATGTTTTCTGTGTTTTGATCCTGGCTTGGGTACCAGTATCTAGGTCTTAATAGGAAAAATTACTCTATCTCTTGGGGGACTCAGTTTTCTCATCTATAATTTGAGGTTTCTTCCTAGTATGGTCTTCCCAGGCAAGCAGGTACAATAAAGAGAGAATACATAAGATTTAAAGCCAGAAAGATCTGAATTTGAATTCTGGCTCTGCCAATTACAACTCAGTTACCTTAAGTGGGGATTAATTATGTAAATAAACACTCTGTAGCATTAGTTTCTTCATCTGCAGATATGAGTAATAATAACGATAAAGAGAGCTTTTCATTTCTGCAGTGTGCTAATCTGCATTTCCCCCATAGTACTTATAACTAAATAAAAAAGAATTGTTTACTTAACAAATGAGTAAGTACTATGAGAGCAGGGATACCCTGTGTCCTGTTCACTAGTGTATCCACAGCCACTAGGACAGTGTTGGGAATAGAGTAGGTGCTCATAAGGATGCCAGAGTGCATTATCAACCTGTAGATTAAGTACCTAGACTCCATCCTGGCACATCAAAGTTCTTTCAGTAAATGAGAGTTCCTTTCTTGTTAGTCTATGAGTACAGTTATTTGGGCTCCAGTCTTTAAAGATTTCAGTAAATGATGAAATTGGTGTTGCAACCTAAAATGCTCAGGATTAAACAAACCAAATGAGTAACAAGGAATAAATTCAGTTCTCATAAAGTTACTCACACCTTTTATAAACAAGTTTTAGCTCCTTCCAGTCGATAAAACTGCTCATCCTCTGACTACGAGAAAGCACAATCTGAACAATCTCCCGGGTGATCTTCTTCCTTTCCTTGTCAGGGAGAGTTGTGTACCATTTCTGCAGCCGTAATTTCCCTTGTCGACTGAAGAGCAATATGAAATGTATCTATAATAAAGTGGGGACAGAGAAAAAACAGAACCTGGTCAATCAAATCATTCTATGTAGACACTAATGTTCAGTGGCCAGGTGTACAAAGGATTATAATTCTGAACCAATGAAAAAGGCTTCCCAGCCTGAAAACAATGTCTTTTCTGAAATTATCTTTAGCCCATCAGAGAAACAAAGAAATGTGGACACCACAAAGTTTATTTATATTATAGGGGAAAGTTAAGTTCTTTTAAAAATTCCTCTTATGAGTCACAAATACAGGATAGGGAGAAATATATGTCAAGGAAGTACATAATTCTTTTAAGAACACATTAAATTCATCCTTCACAAGCAAAAAGAAAATGTTAAGAACAGTGGAAGACTTTTCTTTAAAAGTTACATCCTAGTTCCATATCACTACTATAGACACACAATAATAGAGAAATGATGGAGAGAAGTAAAGGAAAGAAATGAGGATGAAGCAAGGGGGGGTTAGAGAGAAGAAGACCATATTTTGTCATTTAAAATGTTTTTAATTGATTTTTTTAGACAGAGAGAAACATCATTGATTGGCTGCTTCCTGCATGACCCCCACAGAGGATCAAGCCCACAACTCATGTATACGCCCAGACGAAGAATCGAACTGGTGGCTGCCGGAAACCAATCATTGTCTCACTAATAGAAAGAGGCTGGTCAACCTTGAAGCTCTGAAAGGTCAGAGCCAACCACACCCTATCTAATTGAGACAATAGTAACTGAGGCAACTTCCCCATCTTGTAAACCCTTACTGATATGATAATCCACTTATTACCTGCCTAAGGGCTATGGATGTTTTCCAAAGCTGCTTAAGGGTACTGGGTGTTTCCCAAAGCTGCTTAAGGGTAATGGATATATCCCATAGCAGCCTCAATAAAAGGGATAGCAAGGCCAGAGCCTAGAGAGTCTTCCCACTAGAGGTTGACTCCCACCTGGCCCTCCATTTGTCCCAAATTAACTCTTTTCTAGTCTTTCTCTTCATTTTAGTGTGTGGCCTTCTCCAGAAACCAGACCCTGAGTGGGCCCTAATCACTTGGGTTGTGTTAAGGGTTCCCACAGGTGGCCTCTTGATTCCTGGGTCAATGTTCAACCACTAAGTTACACTGACTGGGCCACAAACTGTCATTTTTAATAAAAGTTGTACATACTTAAAGTGTACATCATGATTAATACATGTGCATAACAAAGTGATTACTACTGTCAAGCTAATTAAAGTATCAACTCACATAGTTACCATTTTTGTGTGTGTGATGAAAGCACTGAAATATACTCTCAGCAAACTTCCAGTATTCAATACAGGGTGTCGAAAAAAATGTATATACACTTTGAATAATTATTAATTCCAATAGGTTAAATCTAAAAAGAAAGAAATATCAACTGAGTTATCAGATTTTAATAGTGTATACATTTTTGAGGGGACATCCTGTATACTGAGAACTAAAATAATTAATTCTTTAAACTTATTACAAATAAAATATTTAACTCCTTTTATTGAAAAGGTTGGGCTCTGAACATCATGGCCTAAGTCATACAAACTCAATACGTGGCAATGTCTGAGGGCTGAAAGAAACCAGGCTTTCCTCAGCACTTTCCCTACCTCCAACCTATAGAATTTGAGGTCTTCTTAATAAACTATCTCTTCCTTAGAAAGGAAACATATGTTTTAACAAGGTCTTGAAGACCAAGACATGGTAAATGAAGAGAAAGCAAGTTACAGAGCCTACACACCTGCTATCTTTAAGAAAAATTACCCTCAATCTGGAATTTCAAATATTTACTTAGCACACAGCATTTTCTTAAATACCCATTTCACTATCAGAGCAAGTATAGGTAACCGAATAATGCAACACAGTTATTATTTTCTAAGAATCATATCAAAGAAAGGTGTTTTTGCTTCTAAGGCTATCTATATATCTATATATATATATATATATATATATATATATATATATATATATATATAAAAACATGAGTGACCATTACGACTGGACACCTGGACAACCGGCCAGTCACTATGACATGCACTGACCACCAGGGGGAAGATGCTTAATTCAGGAGCTGCCCCCTGGTGGTCAGTGCAATCCTACAGCCAATCTCCCCTCCCGCTACCAGCCAAACTCCTGTGGTCCCTCCCCTCTCCCCCTCTCGGCCCGATCAGGACTGGACTAGATGGCCCCATCAGCCCTGATAGTCAGCCAGGCCAAGAGACCCCCACCCATGCATGAATTTGTGTACTGGGCCTCTAGAATAATCATAAAAGTAGCATTCTACAAGTACAAAGTTAAATGGTGATAGAATAAAACCTCAGAATCTTGAGAACAAGCCCTTTTTGGATAATCACCAATGGATAAGAGTATTTCGTCTGATGTTTCATAAATAAGCAGATTTTTGTTAGAGAAATGAAATCCACACATTTTTCTTAATGTTCACTTTGCATTTCCTGACAGAAAGTTTTCTTCTTACCATTTAATCTAATCTCTTTAAAATCAGTTTAATCTAAATAAGTTCAAATTAAACAGATTTTCCCTGGTTTTATCCACAGAGTGTATAAAAAGACATCACTATCCTAGCTAACTTCAAAAATTTGAAGACAGCCTTTAAGTATAGCCTAAATCTTTTCCTTCCAGAAGAAATAACCCAGGTTTCATGTCTTCTTCTCCTTGGTCCTATTTTCAGATGCCAAAGTCATCATGATTGCAATTCTTCCGTATTTCCCCATAGGCTCTATGTTCTTTTAATTTGGGGCACTGAGATCAATGCCCAAGTCCCAGCGAGAGGCTATAACTATTGCTGAGTTTAATTGTAGAACACTTTCTAGTTCCTCTATGTTGCAACTTTCACTCAAGAACAAGTAAGTGCCTATCTTTTTAAACATGGATCAACAATGGAGAACAATAAACAAGAAGCATTATTTTCATTCTAACAAATTCAAAGGAAAAGAATAATCAGGGACATAATACACATATCCATGAGCCCATACAAAATATAAAAATGCATTCCAAATTCAAAAGAAGCAACAAATAGGTTCAAGTTTATCCAGTGATAGCACGGCATAAGACAGTGTTGAAAGAGTTGGATCTCTCAGGTCCTGGTGTCTGTTACACCTCCTCCAGATTTAACAGCTTGAGAGACTCGGCAGAATGAATCCCAGTGGTTCACAAGAGTCATCACCTCCAGCAATTGATTTAATCTAATTTATCAATTCAGTCCTTCAAGGCAGATGTTTCAAGAGGTTAATCAAATACCATTTTTTTTTATTAGCATTAGCTTGAGAGCAGGAAAAAAGAAAATTGGGTGGTTTTCTTCAATAATTACAAAGAGCCAAGTTAAATTCGAGTTGACATCCTCAACAAACTTCATCTGACTTCAGAAAACAAAAACCACCAGACAATTTTTTCCCAATAATGTTGCTGAGAAGAAAGGGGTAATGGAGAGATTGGTAATACCTGCAAACACCAACTCCAGAAATAACCAGAAAACCCAATGAAGTTGACTGAGCTGGCTTGACTGCCTACATTTGACCAAAATGCTCTGGCCTCAAGTGGGCACCCTGTAGCACCAATAGCTCCCATCCCTGTCCCAGAAGGAAACACGTGTCAGCAGCTCTTTTGAGGGGTCTGGTTCTGCCCCACATGATCCCTCAAATCCAAACATATAAAGTTAATCCAGGCACTCCTTGTCCTCAGAGTATCCCCTACAACAATGGCTGACCTTACTGAGCACAGCCCCGAATTACCACTTTGATCTCAAGCAGGAACTGGCTCTTTTCTGCATCCTATATTTCTGAAGCATGTCTAGGGAGGTGCCATTAATCTTTTGAAGGGAGCACAAAGCAGACCAATACCAATGTATCTGTGCTGCTGCTCTGATCCAGTATTAGCATCTTCCTTCTATTTTTTAATTTTAATTTTTCTCTCCATTGTATTTTGTATAGGTTTCAGGTGTACACCTTGTGGTTAGACAACCCTACATTTTACATAGTGTCCCCTATGCGACCCACAGGTTGAGAACAGTTGCTGTAGAGTTTAAGACCATCAGAAAATACAGATATTTCCAGTATGATTCATTAACAATAGAAATATTACAGTTATGAAGTAGCAACACAAATAATCTTTTGTGGGGGTCACCACAAAAGAGGAACTGTATTAAATGGTCATGGTATTAAAAAGGTTGAGAACCACTGCTCTAGGTCTATTCATGCTGTCACAAATGGTAAGATTTCATTTTCTTTTTTATGGCAGAGTAACATTCCATTGTGTAAATGTACCACAGCATTTTTATTCACTCGTCTGTTGAGAGGCACTTAGGTTGCTTCTGTATATTGGCTATTGTAAATAACACTGCAATGAACATAACGAGGCCTATATCTTTTCACATTAGTATTTTGGATTTCTTTGGATAAATCCCCAAAAGTGAAATTACTGGGGCATAAGGCAGATCCATTTTTAATTTTGTGAGTAAACTTCATACTGTTTTTTGTAGTGGCTGCGCAAATCTGCATTCCCACCAACTAGCATTTTCCTTCCAGTTGAAGATAAACAACGAACACTTCCAATAGCAGTTTTGTTTCTTAATGTTTGAAAATCTCTTTGCTCCTGATCTGAATCCATGTTGTGGACCCACAACCAGCTTCCAAGAAGAGGGGTATTCAGGACTTTTGTCTGTCCCAATACTGTCACACCATGAATACCCCCTTTTCAGAACTGGCTTATATTTCAGGATCCGAGCTGTAAATATAAATACACAGACCATGTCCCTTTCCTTCAATTTCATCAACCTGACAGACCCTTCCTCTAGTGGTTGGATCTCATGATATATCACTTAAATAATCCTATTGCTAGGGTCCTTACCAACTTTGCCCCTTTTCCAACTTCTGCCATCATGGCAAATTCCCAGCCCAGACAAGATCCTCCTCTCTTGTCTTTGCTTCTCTATGGAGACAGCAGGCACTTTGCAGATTGGTGCAGCCATAAATCTATGCT